ATCTGGACAGCCCAGTCTCCATCTCCTCCAACCCCTACCCCAGACGGCGATTTTCTTCCTATTCTTCTTGTTTTTCCGCTTATCTCCTCCTCACCCTGAGCCCTGCCTTGGGAGAGAGAGGGTTAAGACGATCTGCGAAGGTTCCTCGTAAAGCTCCTTGGTTACATTAGAAACATATGAATATCCTGAAATACGGAGCGTCTTTACAACGCACTGACGCTTGTTTATCCGCTCTGTGACCAGTGCGTAGTCAGGTATACACCGACTGAATTTGGGTGGACAGCCTTCCTCCGAGTTAGAGTGGGCACAGCTATGTTTCATTTGCTAATGAAAATCCAAGTGGACAACGAAGCAGTTTGTTTCCATGTCCTCAGTTCTCTTCTCCTTGTCCAGGTTCTTTTTTCTGGGATAGCCCTTTGGGTTCGGGTCTTTGGGTTGCCGTCCTTCCCTCCTTGCAGGTTCATATCAGAGGGATTGACGGTTCTTTCAAGCCTTTGACTAACCCAGCTTAGGGTGTAAGATCTCCCCCAAGTCCCAGAGCCTCACTCCCGGAAAGCTGACAAAGAAGGTTCGTCCCTATCTATGCCTAGTCTCCTTTCTAGGAGAGGAAAACCAGGGACTGGGAGCCGGAGAGAAGGACAGCACGAGAGGCGGCAGGCAGAGGCCATCCTGAGGCGGTCAATGAGTTTCGGGTGTCAGGCTTTCCTGCACCCGCAGCCTTGCTGAGATGCTTCTCCCCTTTCGGTTTCTGAGCCTCCAAGCCCAGGCAAAGACGGCCCTCTTTTCGCAAGCCAGTTTCGGGGAGTGAGAACTCTCAGGTAGGGCTGAAAAACCTACACCAACTTTGGAGGATGTTATGACTCTCAGGGTTATCCAGGGATAGGTTTGGCTCTCCGGCAGCCAGTATATTATTCCATCCTGAGCAAAACCAAGGACGGGAGTCCTTGGGCACAAAAAGTATTATTTTAGTGGTTCGCAAGAGGAAAGAAAACCAGCCACCCATTAAAATAGATTATACTAAAATACTCTTTTTCTAGTCCCCTTAAAATAATTTTTTCTTTAAAGCAAGATCCCACAGGCCGGTATCTCTGCTTTTGTCGTGCAAGAGAAAAGCAGGAGAATGTCAGACACAACAAGAAGGCTCAGATCGCAGCTGTTTAGAGTCCTCTAATCTTGACTTTTTTGTTAAGGAGGAAGGAAAAAACCTATAAGGTTCCAGTCTCCCCCTCAAACATACCAGAGAGTTTATTACCCACTTTCCCCCCACAGCCCCAACAGAGATCTTCTAGTAAGAGAGTGGCCAGGCCATCACCTACTTTTCTGATTTTTTCATTAATTTCTGGGCTCATTGTCTGTCCAATCGAAGATAAAGAAAAAAAGAGAAAAGATCTGCTTCTAGGCAGTTTGCAGATCCTGGGCTAGAGGTCAAGTCCAATCTAGAAAAGGACCCACTGAACGCCTTGCATTCCATTCTTGTCCTCTTAGCTTTGTATCTATCTCAAGGGCCAACCCGACCTTCAGACATTTTAAGAGCTAATGATGCCCGTAGGAGAAATCACTTTGTAGCGCGTGATTCGGTCAAGATGTTAATGTTACTTTTACTCGATTTCTCATTTACATTATGGGTCCTGTGCTTTCTTTCTTTTTTCTTTTTTTTTTTTTAATCTCTCTTGAGGCCTCGGCCATTGTATATTTGAGTTGAGTGAGACAGAGAGCCAGTAAAATATCTGAATCATTTTATCGGTTAATTCAGGCCACCAAGTCCCTCTTTTCTTTAAAAGCATTACTGACTGCATTGTATCCGGGTCCTTTTTCTTACTCTTAGATTCCCAAAGTTAGGATAAAGGTAACTCATAACCCAAAGGACAATGGAAGCAGAACCATTAGTCCTTTCCCTTCTTGAAAAAGGCAATTTCTAAAATTTTGGCCAGATACGACTCTGAGAAGAGGAGGATCCAGAGAGCCTTGGCAGTTGACTTTGCATCCACGACCAGGTCGCCATCTCTGGCCTTTGGATCTTTGGGGTCAAGAGAGAAGAATTTAGATCTCATTTTCCCTGAACCCTTTTCTGAACCAACAATTAGCAAGTGATCAGAACGAAATCAAAATACCCTGAGTTGATATTGAGTGTCCAAGGTCCAGTGTGGCTTAACTCGGGTCTGGAAGAAAGAGAGAATGGAACTGAAAGGTATAGTCAGGCGGTTTCAGGCAGGGAGACTTCGGCAAGGGCACACACGGAGGCCCCTTTCCCTCTCCCCTCAAAAAAAAAAAAAAAGGCCAACTCTCACCATAAAGAAGATCGAAAACAAAATTAGGAGGAAAACATGCATGGGAGGGGGGAGAAAGTGAGAGGATAGGAAGATCTCTGTTTTCAGGGATGCTGCCTTTAAACAAATTAGACAGGGTCTTCAAGGTTTGAGTGACAGGTCTCACATTGGCTAGACTGCAACTTTCAACTTGACCTTGGCCTCCAGCCGTGTCTGACCCGTATGTAAAACAGCTCTGCCCTTGGAGCTCGGAGCTATCCTTTCTCTTTTCTGTCTCTTCCCTCTTCCTGCATTTTACAACGAGACCCCGAAAAAGGAGAGTGGAAGGGAGAGGGAAGACAAAAGAGCCCGGGTAGAAACACAAAAGTAACACCACGGAAGAAGGTTTCATGAGTCTTCAACATTTTGGCTCAAGTACCAGGAGGATGTGAGGGATGAAGAAATATTTGCTTGCAGCTACGGTCACGAGAGAGGAAAAGCCAGGGAAATGACGGGGTTCTTTTTAGTTGTTGCTTAAGTCGGTCCAAGCGAACGTGTGGAAAATGAGTCCCAGAAAAATCACCGCTAACGCATCCCCTGCTCTCCACGTCCATCCCTTGAGCTGACAGACCAGTGCCTTCTTCCGAGAAAATGCCGGACTGGCACCCTGCCTAGGCTCCGGGACCGCCAAAGAAAAAGGGCAGGAAAATATTCTGCTCTGTCCCTCAACCACCTCTTCTTTTGGGTTGGGCTTGTAGGCACAAAGTCCAGCTCCTCTGTGACTTTGCTGGTCTCGCTGAAATCTCTGCGATTTCGTCAAGGAAGCCCTCAGTTTCGTTTGTAATACGAACTTCTTTGTCTGTCTGTCTAGCTAGCTAGCTACCTACTTACCTTCCTTCCTATCTATTCTTTCCCAAACCTCAAGGCTGGTCTCTTTGCCCCTAAGGCGTCCGTAGATTTCTGTCCACCAAGCCACAGTCGTGGAGGCACGGGCTGGCCGGGTCTGCAGCCGAAGGTCATCAGGGATTCAACCCCTTTTACTCGTCTCTAATTTTCATTCCCGATGCCTGCATCAGCTCCTACGGGAGCTCGCAAGACTAAAGCCAGGGCCTGGCCCAAATTCTCATCTGCAGGCAAAAGACTCAAAGCATCTTGGAGCTTACTAAGTCTGATGAAAAGAAGACCTAGGTCCACATCCTCCGAGAGACATTATTCAGGGAGGGTAGGGCTTATAGACTAGGGACAAGAGCCTCATCCATATATTGGGGGAGGGGGGCTGGAGAGTGTTTTTGGGGGGAGGAGAATACGTTCAGTAAGTAGAAATCAGAACTGACGTTTTATCCGACTCCTCCAAAAGGAGCACCTCAAAATGTGAAGGCGAAAAGGAAACATTTAGGCCGTCGTTTGGAGAACAGAAATCTAACCAGCTAGGAAAATGCTCCAGAGCCGGCTGGATTCCTCTTTCCTCCTTACGCTCCCTGCTCAGGGTGGCCTGTCTGTACTTCCCAAGCTATTTCGTTCCAGTCCACTCCGACTTAGGATCTCTAAGAAGGAGGCCTCCTCGAGCTGCCAAAGATCTGCACAACTGTCACCAGTTAGAGGATGGGAGACGTTGGTGGGGGGGGCGTGTTTGTGTGATAGCTGTATCTATCGCGACTGTTGTTTGCAAGTCTCTCGATGCTTTCGGAGAATAGAGACGAGGGCGGGGGGGGGGGGCGGGTCGAGCGTCTCTAGGCCAGGGCCACCACCACCCTGGGAGCTCTCCTCTCCTAATCAGCTAGAGCTACTTAGTTAACCAAGGTCCAGGTCAGACTCAGTGCCGCACAACGTTCGGGCGCAGAAACGAGATAACTACCAATAGCTCCCCTCCCTTGCCCGACTCCCACCCCAAGAATGAACCAAGGAAAATAGCGGAACTGTCCTAGGCCTAGAAAGCACCCGGTTCGCTTGGAGTCCTAACCCAGGAAGACATGCAGCGACCGAGAAATCCACAGCGACAACACAACCCGGACAGACCAAGCGAGTTCCCACCCTCCCGCCCCACCGAGCCCCATCCTCCCAGAGTACCTGTCCCTCCTGCCCAGGCTCGGGAATACATTGGTACAGAAAAAAGACCGCGGTCCTCTCACCTCCCAGACCCCTTCCCCCCTCTTCTAGGCCATCCCTCGTTGATGGGGGACTGCGGGGGAGGAAAGGGGAGGAGAAGAGAGGGGGTGGGGGAAAGTGGCGCCGCGGGGAGCCCAGCCCCGGAGGAGTGCGGTGGCTGAAGCTGGGGGGAGTCTGGGACACTCGGGTCCTGAGCCTTTCTTTTCCCTTCCCCCACCGCCCCACGTTCTTCTTCCTTCTC